GCCGGTCCAGGGATCGAACTCTCAGTTACTATTCAACTAAATGCACCAGCCGACGTTTTAGCCCTGTAGTCTTTTTTTCCTTATATTTATTTATTTATTTTTTATTATTACTACTACTACTATTACTACTACTACTACAATTCCTTTGATTTCTGTTGCATACACATTTCCTTCCGGGTCCCAACCAGAGACCTAAGAACAGAAATGGCATCATGACATTTTCCACTAATCACCTTTAAAAAAAAAAAAAAATAATAAATAAGATCACACACATTTTAAATAGATAAAGCTTTTCTTAACTAAGGTTTAATAGATAAAAACTGCGTGTATATTTAAATATAAATACCGCATATACTCGTGTATAAGTCGACTTCATGTATGGTGCGATACCTGAATTTTTCCCCAGAAAAAAAATACCTGTGTATAGTGCCACCCAACCCATTTTTTGTGTAAAAATTTAAAAAAATCTGTTAATAAAAAGTTACACTATACTAGTTTATATATGTAATTAATGTTTTTTTTCCATCCGTATGAGTATATTCATTTCCGTTGTTATTCTCACAACGTTTCAGCCGTTGACCCCATCGGCCTTCGTCAGATATCCGATTGTAGGAAAATTTTTAGGTGAAAAGTAGTCCGACTTTTGAAATCTTTCAAAAATCAGAGAATTATCGGAATTTAAGAACATTTTTCATTGACGATGTACAAAAATTCTCGCAGAGACTAAAAAAAAAAAAAAAATAGCACGGAACAGACAAAAAACAGTTTTTTTTATGAAAAACACTTGAAGACTTTACACGCTTCTTTTATAATAGATAAATTTTGACGTTGTGGATATAGGAATCAATACTGCTTGGTTACTATCAGTTTCAAATCACCATGCAAGGTTAGTTCCTATGTCCACAAACGCTCTATCACCAATACTGAACACTCTTTTCATATACAGCAAATTTTAAACAACTAATATATATTAGATAGAATTACGACCGGATCGCTTTTATTTTTTCTTTTAAATTCCACATTTGGTTTGCAAGTTTGGTGGAGTATCTAAGGTTTGGGAGCTTAAAAGACGATGTGTGATTGTACCATCTGCGCTTTTAAAATATTAAAGTTAAAAGGTCTATATGTTATTTCTTACTTATTTTTTCTCATGTGTATTGAGCACTTTTTAATACTACTTTTTCCTGATCTGATTCAACTTCGACCATTAACCTCTGTATGTATGTATATATATATATATATATATATATATATATATATATATAGAGAGAGAGAGAGAGAGATGATAATTTTTAAGACGGATAACTTTAGGTACCTTTCGACTGACTCATTTTCAGAAATTGATATCGTCGGTATAAAACTGATTCTATTGTAACTCATTCTAAAAAATAAACTATGATCCCACTCTTGAAAATTATCATATGGTAACTATTTGCACCATTTACATCATTTGGACTGTTGTCCTTATCTTTATTGCCATATTCACGACGTTTCGGCCGTTGTACGCTCAGACGTTCTTCAGGATCTGTCTATATTTCTGAGATGAGATATTGTTACTACTTACACTATGTACATTGTTCGGGCTGTTGTCCTCATCTTTATTGTCATATTCACGACGTTTTAGTCCCACACATAGCGTTGGTTGAAAAAAAAAAGTGACTTGACCTAAAGAGCTGTGAGTTCAATACTTGATCACAGCAGAGAGAACAAAAACTTGGAGAGCTGAGATATACAGAAAGGGCATGGCACGTGGAATTAGAACAATTTAAATTAATCTAAATAAAGGGTTCAACTCGAAATTCCAACGTATATCAGATGAAGAATGCCGGAGCGTACAACGATCGAAACGTCATGAATATGGCATTAATGATGAGGACAACAGTCCGAACGAATTAAATGGTGTTGAAACTTCCTTCTTTCTTGTAATCGGCACCTTCACGCAATTTACGGCTGTAGTCCTCTTAATTACCCAGTGCTACACATAGCTATATTGACTAATCCAATGTGTTCCATATTAGTCAGACTAGTTACGATGTTTTCCTCTCTAGAATCAACAATAGAATCAGCTGGACTCAAGTGGGAAGGAAAGGCACAGAAGACAGTCCCATACGAAGAAAATCTAATTTTTTTTTTAAACACACAAATATCATCGAACCAAACTTCAGAAATGCCAACATACAGACTATTCTGGGTTCGGTTCGAAATTCCAACGTATATCACCTGAAGAAGGCCGGAGCCTACAACAACCGAAACGTCCGAATGATTTGAATAGTGTATACAGCATTTACGTAAACGTTTCAAATGTAATTTCCGTTTCCCTCTACCTTGATCCAAACAGCAACACCTGCTTAGGATTGCTTCTACAACTTGTCTTACTCTCTTTTCGGCAGTACTGATGTTAAATTATAAATACTGTTATTTTTTACTAGCAGTGTATTTGGTTCAGACCTTCTGCAGCTGACCTTAAGGTCAGATAGCAGACAAAATAGGGTTGTCGATTTTGATTGGCTAAGCCGAACGCGGGAATCTTATAGAGATAGAAAGTGATTTCAATGAGTTAAGTTTTACACGTCGAAGAGAGCAGACGTTGTT